GGCAGGAGGGACGGGATGTGCAAAGGGAGTTTGGTGCCCAATGCCAATGGGCTTTGGGCACCTATCGTCCTCAGCTGCCTGGCTGGTGTTGCTCAAATCACGCCTGGAGGGAATGTCACCCACTGACCACAGGGCTGCTGGCGAAGCGTGTTGTGTTTGCAAGCCCCAGGGCGACCGTGTGCCAGCAGGATGCCCTGCTGAGCCGCAGCATGTCACTCCGAGGTGATGGCACCTGTCTCTGCAGATTCCACGCCGCAGAGGCTGGCCGATATTCTGCTCCCTTGCTAGCACTGCAGTGAATGCTCCCAGCAACAGGTGCTGTAGCCGGGGGAAGTGGTTACAGGCTGGCACCCGGAACCTGGATTCCTCTGTGTGCTAACAAGGTGTCTGACTGCGCTCCACAGTCCTAGCTTGGGGCCCCTGCCCAGGCCCCTCTGCCACCATGCTGCTGCTGGTAGAGGGGCTTAGGGTGTTACCCAGCACTAAGGCATGATGCAGAGTGCATTGATCCCAGCTCCCCCAGGCCAGCTCACCAGGCATGGCCCAGGCCCCTCTGATCAGCCACCGCGGCTCTGCCCAAACGCTCTGTGAGTGCAACAAAGCCAGCCATGTACTTTTAGCCACATACTGGGTCCGGTTCTCTCCTTGGTGCTGGCCCCTTTGTGCCCAGGGGCTGGAGCTCTCCGAGAGAGTCCAGTTGGCAGAGCCAGCTGTGCCCCCAGCCCAGCCTAGGGCATGTCGGGGGCAGGGCAGAGAGTAGACCTCCTCAAATCCTCAGCCCCCACTCTGCCTTCCCATCCCCCTTTTGTGCTGGGGGGGGAGCTTGGCATGGGAAGGGCGCTAACCCCTGGGCTGTCATTCAGCAGGGCGTCTTTTGCCTGCAGATAGCGCCTTACGGTATTGGGAAGATCTCAGTTTGCGCCTACATAGCTTTTAAACTGCAGTTGTTCCAGCTAATTTTATTTATGGATTAAAACTTACCCTGGAACAGAGCTGCTCGGCGACTGGCTTGAGCCGAGCCTGATCGATAGATTTCTCTTCTCTACACGGCTGCCAATGCCAATAACCCAGCCCATCGATTTTCACGCGGCGTTTATGACTTCTGAAGTCATTGGTTGTCTTCCTATTTTTTCTTCCCCCTCCATTTGCCGAGTCCCTGATCTACCACATTTAGGGCTGAACCCCTCCGAGCCAGGCTCGTGATCCACCACGGAGCAGAGGCAATCTAATCCTAGGCCTCTGCACATAAGCCGCCCGCTGCCGGGGTCAGGAGGTCAATTTGTTTCGATATCACACAGCTGAAAGGCAGCATTAAGGAGTTTTGTTTTGCCTTGCTCTGAATCAATAGGCATGGAGCTGGAATGGAGTTAACACACCACACTGGAGGGATTGTTGCTACCACTCCTGCTATGTGACCTGCGAGGAGCTGGGGTGCGGGGGCTGGGGAGGTACCCGGGAAGATATTTCACTACTGGAGCCTGGTGAAAGCCACGTGGATGAGAATCTTGATTGTGTCTTTGAAGAGGTCATGGGGCAATGTGCCTGGGTGATTGCACGACCGTGACCTCATTCTGCCTCGTAAAGGGGGCAGGATAAAATGAACCCAGCCAGCAATGCGACCGGCTTTCCTAAAAGAGCAAAAGTGAAGCAAAACGCTTTTTTAAATCTGGCATTTCTCCCAGCCTGGAACCCTTTGCATCCCTGGGAGGACTGTTAGGAGGGTTTCTTTGTGGCCATGCTCAGAACCCCATATGAGACAAACGTAGGGTAACTCTACCCAGCAAAACCACCTGCACGGCAATGAGTCTCAGGGCCCGGGTAAACCACTTGGGCTCACGCCGCAGGGCTAAAAAAGCAGGGGAGATGCGTCTGCTTGGGCTGGGGCCCAGGCACCGAGATTCTTCCCCCTCGCTGGGTTTCAGTCCAAGCCCGAAAGGCTACCCTGCTTGTTTTTAGCCCCTGCCAGCTCACGGCAGTTGACCCAGGCTCTGAGAATCACTGCTGCGGGTCTTGTTTGGCTGCATAAATCTACGCTGCTCCAGAATTCAGTTCCCCAGTCCAGAGGCAAACTCCTTGAGGCGCGCCACTGATTTCACGGGGCGTCCCTTGCAGGGATTCAGAGTTACTCATCAGACCCCGCGGCGATGGATGCTGCCACAGTTTGGAGCCTCAGGCCTTGACAAAGGAATTTGCTCTGCTTGTGAGGCAAATTGATTTTTGCCCAGAAGAAATTGCAAAAAATATTGCTCCCTGTTTTTTGCTGAGAATTTTCCATTTCTGGGATGCTGCATCTGAGCCCAATCACCGCCCCCCGCACACCCCGAAATGTCACTGATTGTCACAGTGCTGGATCGCTTTCCTGATTCAGCAGAGCACTTAACTCAGTGCACAGGGGTAGGCCCACTGACTGCAGCGGAATGACTCTCATATTTAAAGTTCGCTAGGTGCTTCAAAGCTTTGCTGTCCTGGGGCTGAAGCTTCCACAGCGGTAGATGCCTTGCCAAGCCCTAGAGGGGTGGGTGAAGAATCCAATTATTCCCCGGCGCTGATTAGCGAGAGCATGGGAGCTGGAGCCAGCCCCGAAGACTCAGCAGGATCTGTTTAGAGGGGCCCATGGCAACCTTTTCTTCACTCTCAGATGAACCAGCCGTGATTTGTCAGGGTCCCGGCTGAAACCGGAAACCCCCCGACTCGGGCGTGCTAGAAACAACCTAGGTTTTGGTGACAGCATGGACCACGGCTGGGGTCTGTTCTGAAGCAAAGACCAAGAGACTCTGCACCTCTCTGTTTAGCTAACGCTAGGCAGCTCTCTCCCAATCTACCCGTTGGAGGGTATTTCCAAGAAACTTGTCAGGCCGTCTGACTCGCAGCACTCTCAGTCTATGCCATTTTGAGAGGAAATGCAGGCACCAGAGGCAAACATGCCCATTAAAACTAACATCCAGGAGAGCCGTGAGGCTGAGGGGCCGTTAAAAAAATCCCATGGCTCTTTGGCCAGCCGCACCATGATGTCCTGGCCGAATTCTCACTTTGAGAATTCTACCTCCCTAACGTTCCCTTATGGCAGAGAGTCCTAGCCCTGGTCTACACTAGGACTTTAGGTCGAATTTAGCAGCGTTAAATCGATGTAAACCTGCACCTGTCCACATGATGAAGCCCTTTATTTCGACTTAAAGGGCTCTTAAAATCGATTTCCTTACTCCACCCCTGACAAGTGGATTAGTGCTTAAATCGGCCTTGCCGGGTCGAATTTGGGATACTGTGGACACAATTCGACGGTATTGGCCTCCGGGAACTATCCCAGAGTGCTCCATTGTGACTGCTCTGGACAGCACTCTCAACTCAGACGCACGATTGTTTGCCGTTGCTCTGACGCCGGGAGGGGCGACTGACGACATGGCTTACAGGGCTGGCTTACAAGGAGCTAAAATCAACAAAGGGGGTGGCTTTACATCAAGGAGTATTTCAGCCAGGACTTCACGGAGGGTTCCAATAAGAAATGGTGCACCTAAGTTATTGTTCTTATTGGAACAAGGAGGTTAGTCTGGCCTCTGATTGATACATGGCTAGATTTACCTCGCTGCACCTTCTCTGTGAGAGACTGCAGTGTGACCTAGAGGAATGAGTCCCCTAGACGGGGGGCGGAGGGGGGGGTTGCAAATGAGTACAAAACAAATCTGCTCTATTTCTTGTTTTGATACACTCCATCTATCTTTTACATCTTTGGCTGGCAGCAGACGGTGCAGAAGGACTGCATGCCATCCACATCTCATGGCTGCTCGGCAGAAGATGGTACAATAGGACTGACTGCAGGACTAAAGAGAATGACTTGATCAAGTCACTCCAAATTTAGTCCCTGCGCCCATGTCTGCCCAGGCGCTCCCAGCCGACATGGCCAAGAGCACCTCGGACATGACGATGACGGCTACCTGTCATATTGCACCGTCTGCTGCCAGAAGGCAATGGGTTGCTGCTGCTGTGTAGCAATGCAGTACCGCGTCTGCCAGCACCCAGGAGACATAGGGTGACAGTTACCTGAGCGGGCTCCATGCTTGCCGTGGTATGGCGTCTGCACAGGTAACTTAGGAAAAAAGGCGCGAAACGATTGTCTGCCCTTGCTTTCACGGAGGGAGGGAGGGAACGGGGGCCTGACGATATGTACCCAGAACCACCCGCGACAATGTTTTAGCCCCATCAGGCATTGGGATCTCAACCCAGAATTCCAATGGGCAGCGGAGACTGCGGGAACTGTGGGATAGCTACCCACAGTGCAACGCTCCGGAAGGCGACGCTTGCCTCGGTACTGTGGAAGCGCTCCGCCGAGTGAATGCACTTAATGCACTTAGAGCATTTTCTGTGGGGACACACACACTCGAATATATAAAACCGATTTCTAAAAAACCGACTTCTATAAATTCGACCTAATTTTGTAGTGTAGACATACCCCTAGAGAAGTTAGTAGCAAACGTCCTAACTCAGGAATGCCAAATCCAACTCGATTCTGATGTGGTGGAAGACCTAACTCACCCATTGTGAGGCTGATTTCCCCTCTTTGTAGATGCGGAGATCAAGGGCTGGCAAAGTCGGGGCTAGAATGGAAACTCAGTGCGACCTTATCTAGTTCTCCTCCATAATTATATCTCCGCTAGAGAATAAGTATTATAGATCTTTAGAGTAATTTCTATATAACCCTTTTACATTTCTATAGTGCCCTGGTACTTTTACCCCTTATAGATTCTATAAGACTTTTCCATAAGTGCTCCCGCTCAGTTTTAATCAGAAAAGTTATTCTTCACTTCTTGTCTGAAACGGTTGTGTAGTGTTTTTGCATGCGGTGCCACGTTCAACCCCAGAGGTGGCTGCATTGTAGTAGTGGAAGAAGTTATCCTGGTACGTAGTACGTATATCAGAAACATTTTCTGATCCCTTTGCAGTACAGGTGTTACGTGAGTGTAAGTTTTTATCAGTATTCTGTCTGATATTTATTTGTTCTTCTGTATCCTTTCCGACTTCAGGTGGACTTGATGAGAAAAGAATGTTCAGAACACAATTTAAAAACTTATTATACTCGTACCAATATATTATATGCCTTTAAGATGTTGGTTAAGTGGCTATATGCATATTCTGTACATAACATATTCATAATCATTTTCTTATATAATAAGCAATATATATCCCAGCTAGACAAGCACCACATTTTGATCTCACTGTGTGTGATGGGCAAGGTGAAGATTTTGTCACGGTTATTTTTAGTAAAAGTCATGGACAGGGGCCCCTGCTGCTCGCTGCCCTCCGGGTGCCCCCACCACCTGTGGGTGGCCCCCCAGGTACTCCCAGCACCCTCTGGGGCCTCCTGCCACCTGCAGTGGCTGAGAGTTCTGGGGCCCTCACAGCCTGGTGCTGCTCGGAGCTCCAGGGCCCCCGCTGGCTGACAGCTCCGGCCCCCTGCTACCTTGGGGCTGACGCGGAAAATGTCATGGCAGTCTGTGAAAGTGACAGAATCCATGACTTCTGTGACATAATTGTATCCTTAGTGGTGGGCATTGGAAGGATGTCCTCAAAGCTAAGAGTTACAAGTCATGGCCTCCTCCACCTTCTCCCCAACTTCAGTGGGAAGGAATCTGTTTTTCTCTTCTCTGCACTTTTATCTCTCTTTGGGATAGGTCTCTTCAATTTCCTTGGTCTCTGGAAACTTCTACATTACCCAGTCTTCTAGTCATTTAAGGTAAAATTTTCTACATTTGGGTGCTAATTTGCCCATAGACTAAGCAATTGTGTGTGCAAATGGAGATTTGTGCATGAAAATACCAGTCTGCATGTGCAGTCACCACTAATGCAGGGTTTGAACACACAGTTATTAGGTGTGAGCATGTATAATCTTTGAGGATCTGATTTGGGCAAAAGACTAAATGAATTAACTAGTCCAGTAGTCAAAGATGGATGGATGGAAATGCATTTTGGCCACAGAGCGTTCTAAACTCTAGGACATAATAACCCATATCTGCAGTTTTGATTCCAGGTGCTTTAAGGTAGTATTGTCCTTCTCTTGAGCAGTTCAGGAGGCATGAGGAGAAAAGTGTAAAGGTGCAAGCAAAAGGTACATGGAGCGCTACCAGCACTGGTATTGCGAGTGCATATGGTCTGTCACTTTTTAACAATCTGGGTCAGAGAACCTATAGTGAAGATTCCTGGCACCCGTCATCAGACATGACTAATGTGGGCAGATGCACAGATTGGATCGGGAAAACCCAGGCGGTGCTTGGAACACTTCTTCAACCATATTTTGAAAGCACTAGAGAATGTTCAAAGATCTCAGTGCAATTATCTTTGGCATCCAAATAAAAGCTGATGGGAGCTTATCCTGGGTGAGCCCCTCAGGTACCACAGGTATTGCTCAGAGAAAGGCGGTCTCCTTTTCAGTCATTGAGGACATCTTTGAGAAGCTCCTCTGAGCGAGAGTCGAGTGGGTGGTGTCTTCACTTAGTGCGTTTACTAGTCTGGAGAGGATGGTCACCTTAAACTTTTTAAAGTCCTGGCCCATGAAGACATAAAGGATGGGATTCATGCAGCTGCTGGCCACAGCCAGAGCCGTGGTGATGGGAATCCCAATCATGAATACCATATGGGAGATGTGGTCATGCTGTGTTTCCAGGAGGTTCAGGACTTGGTAGGGGGCCCAGCACAAGAAGAAGGTCACAATAATGGCGACAATGATCTTGAAGGGCTTTTTGGATTTGGCGAGCCGGTTTCTTTTCAGCTTGAAGACGATGGTCATGTAGCAGACTGTGATGATGGTGATGGGAATGACAAACCCTGTCAGAAACCTGATGATGTTTACAGTCTGGTGTCTCATCATACCCTGAAGATGGTCAGACGTATTTCTGGACAAGGAGTAGTTATTAAAACAAATCACCTTGCCTTGGTGAGTTGCAGTGTCCCGGAAAATGAGAGATGGGAAACTCATGACCAAACCAACCACCCAGTCGACGACGCAAATCAAACAAGCCAGAGTGGTGGTTCGATGGTTCTGGGCCCAGACTGGGAAGACCACGGACACACAACGGTCAAGGCTGATCGTCGTCAGCAGCAGCACGCTGCTGTACAAGTTCAGGTTGAGGAGGAAGGAGTTTAACTTGCACATGGCTGCCCCAAAGACCCAATGGTAGTTCATGGCGGTGTACGCGATATTCAGCGGCAGGAAGATGTTGAAAAGAAAGTCGGCAACAGCCAGGTTGAGAAACCAAATGGCATTGATGGACTTTTTCATCTTGAAAGTGATGATCGTGATGACTAGGCCATTCCCCAGTATTCCCAGGAGGCAGGTGAGGCTGTAGATTACAACAGAGAGGATTCTAGCAATGTCTCTTGCATCATGTGATGGCTCTTGCTTAACACTAACCGTGGCCAAATCATCATCATAAATATCATAATCCACCAAGTTGTCATAAGAGGAATTGTAGATCTCCATTACCTGTAAACAAATCACAACAATTTCACCAGGCGGTTCTTTTATAGACTATCTCTCTGCTTGTTTCTGTTCGAGGCCAAATCAACAGGAGTGAAGAATTCAGGATTTGTCCCACAGACTTTAGTTTGTCGCATAAATGGATTGCTCCATGCTGCCTTAAATGCATGTGTCTACAGCTCTCCAGAGGAGCTGCATACCTGCATGTGAGGACAGAAGCTGGCAACTCTGTGCATGTATCTAAGAGTAGAATGTGCACTGTTATGTCACAAAGTGGGGTTAAAATCATGTACGGGGCCAACATGATGCTATTGTATACACATTTGACATGCAATTTCTATGGGAAAACCTGCCTTTGGCTGCCTGCCAGCCCTTCCAGGACTGGTCAGTCAAATATAGCAAATCCTGGCTCAAAGACATGAAGGAAAGGCTGCAAGTCGTGGCATTTAAGTGCCTGTATTGGTCCAAACACTAGCTTCTCCCGTCGACACAGCTCCTGCCTCTCAGGGAGATGAAATACCCATGCAGACAGAAGCTCTCCTGGGGGTAGCGTCTTCACTGAGCACTACAGTGGCTGCACCGCAGCCCTTACTGTGGATTTACACTCGTAGGGCCGAGTGAAGAATTTTGCATTTGGTACCACAGGGCATGATCTAAAACTGTTTGATTGCATCACGGTTTGGAATCAGCCCCTCGCATTGCAAAATGGGTCTGATACGACCCACCCACCACCCAAGGGAGTGTCTGAGGCTTAATTCATTGGTGCTCTGTTAAGTGCTTTGAGATCCTCCGATAAGTGCAAAATATCATTGCTCTGCTCTTTCTCCTCCTCAGCATTCATTCAATTGCACATTTTGGGGCCAAATTTTACTCTCAGGCAAATATGCCTCTCAACTGACTTCTGTGGGATTGCGCAGGGATGACTAAGGCTAGAATGTCGCCCTGTACGCAGTTTATTAAATCTCACCTATTTACTCCCGTATTTTTTTCAGCTCCACTCTCAGTGTCCCTGTAGCAGGGGCCTCATCCACTCACCGAATAGCTGGAAACACCTGCAATACGGGAAAGAGAACCACCGGGTTTATTAGCCAGACCAACATGGACAGTTCTTCCCTTTGAAAGCACTCCCTATTCAGAGGCACGTGCAGGCGCACAGATAGAATATCAAAACAGGGATCGAACTAGGGCCATGCACCCTTCAGAAAGATGCGTTGGAAGGGAGGAAATCCATGTTTGTGTTGGGTTAAGACAAAAATCACAGGGATGATTACGAAATGCCAAGCCCAGAAGTGGCTGTTGTGATCATCTTGTCTGACCCCCTGCCTCACACAGGCCGGAGAACTTCCCCAAAATAATTGCTAATGCAGACCTTTTAGACAAACAGCCACCTGTGATTTTAAAAGGGTTGTTTGGGGAAGTTAAACTTATCTGATTTTTGCATGTAGTAATTTCCTCTGGCAACTCTTGCTACAGGGGCCACAGCAGTGTTTTTTAGTTAGTTAATTAATTAGCATATCTGACCTAAAGTTCCATTTGCTACCATCCCCTCCAGCTCTTGTTGCTTCCAGCCTCTCTATCAAGGATTTTCCAAACTTGATAAATGAGTGTAAGTTTAATCTTGTTTCTGAGCCCCTGGAACAACCACAGCTACAATTTCCCCCACCATGCCCGGCTGGTAAACCTGTGGATCTTTTTCTGCTGGCTGGATTCTTCGTCGTCACATGGACGCTGCTCACATCACAGTCGTCTTACTCAGATAGAAACTTTCTACATGCCATTACTGTAAATAGAAGACCTTACTCATCAGTCCTGTCTGCTGCTGCCTAACCACCAGCACCACTTTGGCTTCTCTGCTGCACACTGGCAAGGAATGAGACATTGATAGTGTAATTAAGGGGATATGCACATAGCCTATTGAATATTGTATCACTCACATGGCAGCTTGTGAGGGTGAATTTCTCTGGTAATCCAAGATTTATTAAAAAATAATATCAGTGGGCAGAGATATCCTCGGCCAGCTCTTTTAGGATTCTTGTGTGCAAGTTATCCAGGCTGGCTAATTTAAAAATATATATCTCTAGATGATATTGTTTAACATCCTCCTTAGTTACTAATGGACTGGAAAGTACGTTAGCCTCCTTGTGTGATAGGATTACATCATCCATTTACTGAGTTAAAAATTCCTATCGCCTGTCACCAGAAGTTTACCTGTGTAAGGACTGAGTAATGAACCAAAGCACTCCGTCTAAAGACCTCTGAACTGTGCCAGTTTCCACATCTGAATCTACATTCAAATGCAAATTTTGAGGCTTGGACCCATCTCTCTGTCAATTAGTGATAAGTCTGGAGGTTCAGATAAGTCTTTTTGTACATCTCAACATTTCCCAAACTGCCTAAATTTCCTGGGTCTGACAAACTGAGCTGGATACCTCAGGATAATACTAGACAACTGTTCATTTACAGAATTCAATAAGAATTGTTCCTGTTTGAATCAATATTTGCCATTTGCCTCAGTTTTGTATTAGCTGTTGATTTTTATCTTCTTCTCCTAGGTAAAGAGTAGCTGTCTTTGGATTGACATAGAACAAACAGTAATAAAAGCACAAAATACAGTGACATATCATCTGCCCCTTTTGTGCAAGAACTGAACCAGCCCTTCACCTCAAGCTTGAACTAAATGAGGGTGTTTGCCAGTGTTCTCGCTAAGGGTCGTTACATGCTGCCCTTGGCTCTGCAGCCACTATCTCATGTGGAAGATGCATCTCATGCGTATGCTGGTCGCAAAGGGCCATAGGGGAAAGCCTGGTTGGCTTTTGTTTTATTTTAATTATTTTTAATTGTCATTCAGCTCTGCATGCCCTGTGCCCTACAAGGACCCCGAGTTCCAAAACCCAACTGGAAAGGCTGCCCTGCTCTTAGTCTAGCCCAGCTAGAAGCAGGGAGAAGCAAAAAAATGAGGCGAGAGAACAAGATTTTTAAGCCTCGCTTTGCAGATTCCCCAAGTTTGATCGCTCAGAAAACATCCCGGCAATGCTGAGAGCTGGGCTCATGCTGTGCAGTTCAGCTCTGCTCAGGGCTAGATTCTGAGACACCCCATCACTCCCAATACAAGTCAGGGAGTGTTTAGGATCCAGGGTGATGAATTCGGCCCATCCCTGAGAATCTCAATTTATGGGAGATTTGCTGATGGAACCAAGGAACGTTTGGCAATTTGTCCATCAGCTACTCATGGTCCCAGGTCAGGAAAGCACTTAGGACTTATCTACAGGATGTGGTGATGCACCCTCCGGGGGTGGGATTTGTAAAGCATACTCAGGTGTTGCACATTAATTGAGCCATGTCCACCCTCCTAAAGGCTCCCGAGTGCACTTCAAGCTGGTGTGTGCTGAACCTTTAGTGCACACCAGCATAATGTGCAGCACCTGGACCACATAATGCACAACACCTGAGTGCACTTTACAAATCCCACCCTGTAGGGTGCATTGCCACGCTAAGTAGACAAGCCCTGAAGCACCTGCTTAACTTTAAGCACAGCGCTCAAGTCCCATTGACCTCAAGAGTTAGGCACATCTTGAAGTGCTTTCCTGAACCAGAGTCCAGGTGACGACACTGGATTGGGTCTTACGCTGCTGCATGACACCTCAGCCACTGCCTTGTATCAGTCTCACTTCAGGACAAACCAACTGACTGTAATAAACTAACAAACCAAGTGACTGTAATAAATAAAGGGAGACAACTAAGTGACTGTAATAAATGAGATTTTTAGAACCCGGCTTGTATGTTGGCCTGAATTGAAAGGAGGCCTGCCCCTGGTGAACCCTTTATTGTTGTGAGGAGGAATTAAAGCTGATGATCCAGCGGAAGTAACAATAGCAGCAGAAGTGGTTGTTATACAGCTGACTGTTAATGTTCCTGTTTAACGAGCCGTTCTGACAGTTCCCTTTATAGACCAGTGATTTTCACATTGTTACCTTTCGAAAGGCAAAACCAGAGATGGTCTCGATGGCAGGAACCGGCTTCATTTGCCCTGCAGGGTTTTATGGGAGAAGGCTTCCGTAAAAGAGCAGGGAGCTGCCTTCCCTGGTTCATCCTTCCTCATACAAACAGGCCCCCAAATGATCCAACCCGCCTTTGCGCACCCCATGACACCCAGCCCCGGCACTGCCGTATCGCTAAGGGAAACGGTAGCATCTCTGACTCTTACTGAACAGGTCCGGAGTACTTTTTTTTAGCAGGGTGTAGAACGCAATATAAGGGTGGAAGATCTGGCTAGGTTTGAGGGATCCCGAGTTTCGAATCTGGGTCTGCAGGCACCCAGACTGCAGCCACCACCCAGCAGGGAGTGTGGGCTGATGGACCCTACCTCAACACAGGCACCATCTACGAAGCTCCTGATTGGAGGAGACCTCTGGCCTCTCTGATTGGCTCAGACTCCCTATTTAAGCCAGAAGGAGGCACAGGCAGTTGTCTGGGCAATGAGCTGAATCCCTGACCGGCTGTTATATTAGACCCTGCCTTCCAGTCCTCTTCCTGGTTCCTGCCCTGTTCCAGATCCCTGCTTTTACACCCCACCCCTGGCTACTGTCTCTGGCTCTGACCCTGGGCTCGACTCCTGACTCTGCCTCCGGCTCTGACCTCCAGCTCCAGTTCCTGGTTCCCAGCTTCTGCTCTGACCACTAGGTCCAACTGCCTAAGTCCCAGACCACAACATTAGGGGAAAAGTTTGATGCCTATGGAGTCTGCTCCATTTCTAGAGCAAACCCAAACCCAAACAGAAGGATGGTTCTGAAGTGGTCAGTTGAACTCTCCGCACCAACTCCTCCTACCCGTCTCTCTCTCTCTCTCATACACTTGTTTTTCTTTTGTACTACTGTGATCCATCCAATCGCTTAAAATACCACTGCTACTCTTGATGTAACTCTGGCCTGACCAGTAGCAGAAAGTCCCTGTTCATGTGAGATTTCCAGCCTAATTTCACAGGCCTCAGAAAGGTGGATGGTTCTGATAAACATCAGAATGTCTACGGCCTTTTCTTTGCTGAATCTGAACTCTGAACCTTTCTGAGGTTGGCCCATCCGAACAAACTCACCCAATGCTCTCTGTGATGATGGGGAATTCATCTTGTGTGATACACACCCCTGATGATCCGGAGGTTCCTACAGCAGCTCCTTGGCAGTTGCACATTGGCTGAAGAAATCTTTAAATATAAATGACAGATTGCTGGCCGGGGTGAGCTTACTTCTGATTAGCGCTCATACACCGCACTGAATAGTGAGGTATAAGTCCCCAGCTAGGAGAATGCATGTGGAGAAGTTTTATGATGTTACCAGAACTTTGTTCCCATGGAGCTCACACGCGTCTTTTTTTATTTAAAAATTCTGTTTTATTGTTGCTCCGAACAACTAGTTCCCAAGGTGACATTTCGCTTGACATTTCAAAGCTATATTTAATGGGTTATTTATTGGGATTCTCTGTTTATTTGGTTCTTTTTTACTTTCTTTTTATTGGACATTAACATTTGGACAATAAAAGGAGAATGTACAAAGCAAATGACTAAAAAAAACCCAAACTCTTGCTAGTCAGACAATCAAAGCTTCCCTGGGAATAGGAGAGATTCCATGTACTCTAAGTAACACTCAGTGAGCCAACACCAGGTACGTAGGGCCTAAGCCATGCATAGGCCTTGTGGCTAGTCTTCTGCACTGGGGTGACTTTCACCTGGGGTGCATTGGTACAATGTACATTGAATGAGAGAAATCTCGGGCTAGAAAGGACCTGGAGAGGTCATCAAGTCCAGGCCCCTGCACTGAGGAAAGACCAAGTACACCCGATGGATGTTTTTCACCCTGTTCTTAAAAGCCTCCAATGACGGAGATTCCACAACCTCTCTTAGAAGCTATTCCAGAGTTTAACTACCCTGACAATTAGAAAGTCTCCCTTGCTGCAGATTAAGCCCATCACTTCTTGCCCTACTTCCAGTGGATGTGGAGAACAATTAATCCCCATCCCCTTATAACAGCCCTCAGCACAGGTGATGACCATTGTCAGACTG